ATATATATATATATAATTATATATATATTCTTCTCTAGTCTATCTATCTATCTTCTATCATCTATTATCTATCATCTATCTATGCTACTCTAATCTATCTATCTTCTACTATTCTATTCTAATCTTCTATCCATTTAACAAATGTGAACCTGTACCGTTGACTATTGGTGAAAGCACTCAAAATCATAGGGATCCACCGCTCCCTAAGGTCTCACCTTGCACCAAAGTTTGAAGTTTATAACCGTCTCAACGGTTGTAAAAAATAATCGAGGGTCAGACCGACGAACACAACACACACACGCGCACACGGCACGACGCACACGCAACACGCACACCACTACACGCACACGCAACACGCACGCACACGCACACCTCGCAACACGCCACGCTCGAACGCACTCACTCACGCACACACGCCCCCACACACACACACACACATACACACACCCTCACACACACCAACACAACACACCACAACACAGACACACACAACACAGCACACACACACCAAGACACAGGGCACACAACAAACAAACAACAACAACGGCGCGAAAACAGTTCTGCTACATACGTGGCAGGATTATAACATTATTGGCGAGCCGGTTTGCCTACATTTCACGAAGCATTATTACAGTTAAACTCTTTAGTAGAGAAACTGACGGCCAAAGAAAAATAATTGTATTAGACGGGTTTCGTATTAACCTACTTTTAACATATATTAGCCCCGAATTAACTAAGGAAAAACATTAATTGACTATCAGGTGGTTAACAAGTATTTTATTATAGCGTTTATATGTTATAGATTAAGTACTTAGTGCGTTAAATTGTTCACAATGATACAATTACTGCAAGCCTAATACTCTTCATTCATAATTTACTACTATTCATTACTACGTGCCCCGTTGTACGAAACTGTACGGGGTCAAGAAAAATAATCGTATGTAAGTCGGTTCGTATATATATTAAGGCCTTAATTTAAGAGAAAATCGATGGGAGTTAGGGTGTGTACAAAGTGTTTTAATATAGAAAAGAAAATACGGACATGAAAAATTTTATGTTAGTATCTAGGATTCGTTGTATTATTGTGTTCGGATTAAAGCAATATTTTACTCAAGAGATACACTATGAATTCGAGCCGGTTTTAGAGAAATCCTCGTAGTTTCATCACGACCGAGCTAATATGAGTCCGCCGAGGCGGCATTTTTCGAGTATAATTATATGATGAGAGTAAATATAAGGAAATCGCCAATATTTGGGTACTTTAATCTATCTCGAAATAATTACATTTCTTCCCTTTGAAACCCATATGACGGAATTCAAGCAACTGCGTTTGCAATGCATGCACGCTGCGCAGGCACGCACCACTGCTCGCACGCGCTAACACTTCACACACACAACACGGCGCGCGCGGACAACATCACACACCACGCATTTTCACACAACACACACACACCACACACACACACACCACAACACACGCTCACATAGCGGTGCGCGCCGCGGACACACACACACACAACCACCGAACGCACACCACAACCCACACACACAAACACACACACACAGCCCACACACACTCTCACACACGCGCAGCGGACACCACACACACACACACACACACACACACACACGCCCCACAACACACACACCACACACACACACACACACACAACAACACACACGGCGCTGCGCGCGCAGCGGCGCAGCGACACAACAGTCCACACCACACACGATATACGTCACCCGCGCCACACACACCGCGCACACACACACACACACCGCACACGCCACCACACACACACAGCGCGCCGGACAACACACACACACACACAAAACACATACATACACCACACACACACACACAACACACATAACATATACATACATACATACATACATTACATACATCATACATACAACATACATACTACCCTACATTACCATACATACATAATACTTAACATAACATACATACATACTACATACATACATACATACATACATACATACATACATACATAATACATACATACATACATCATACATACATACAACATACATACTAATACATACATAACATGACATACATAAAATCACATAAATACATATACATACATACATACTACAGTACATACATACATACATACATACATACATACATACATACTATACAACATACATACATACATACATACATACATACATACTAACATACAGTACATACATAAACTACGATACATACTACATACATACATACATACACTACATACATTCAATACCTACATACATACATACATAACATACATTACTCATCACATACACTAACAACATACATACATACATACATACATACATACAACATACAATACGCCGACTGCACCCCGGACACCACCACTGCACGCACGGTCCAGCGCACGCACCAACGCACGCACGCACGCACGCACGCAACCACGCACGCTACGGCACGCGCACGCAACGCACGGGTGTTGTGGCACGCAGCGAGCCACGCAAGCACCCACCACGCACGCACGCACGGCGCACGCACCACGCACGCACGGCACGCACGCACGCACGCACCACGCAGCACGCACGCAACGCACAGCACATGCACGCACGCACGCAACGCACGGAGCAACTTCACACGCACGGCCCGCACGCAACAAGCACGACGCAGCCGCACAGGCACGGCAGACGCCAGCAACGCCACGAACTGCACGGCCGCCGCACGCACGCAGTCGCACACCCCACCACAACACACACAAACACATGATACTACATACTTATCATAAATACATACCATACTACAATACATACATTTCATACAGTACATACATACAGTACATACATACATACATACATAATAATACATATACATACATAATACAATAATAAGTACTATAATCCATACATACTACATACATACATACTACATACATACTCAACATCATATTACATAATACATAATACTACTACTACATACATACATACATACATACATACAGAGACATTACATTAGTTTATCTAAGCTTGACTTCTTGATGTGTGCATATCTAGACAACACGTTTCCTAATATCACACAAACATCCACGCGCGTGTGTATAACAACTCAACCTCACGTTAGTCTATTCAGCTCATGAACGTGCATTTCATGCACCGATATTAAAACACATCATCAACGAGAGCGTTTATCATTTAAAAATAAAATGTAGTTATAACAGTAATAACGTGTCTTACGGATAAATGAATGCATGTCGCGCCACGATTGCTGCTTCATTCCTAGTGATTCTTCGCTTCTTCTCTTTTATGCAATTAAATCCTGTATTGTCGACCGAGTCTCCGTAACTTGCCCCAGCCGCTTGCGCCCTTATAGTTGGCAGTCTTTTGCAAATCACTTGCGGTATAGATAAGTAAGGATGGGTGCTTCCATTAGCGTGGCGTCAGGGGGGTGGTCGCACCTCTTGACACGTGTCAAACTCTGTTTCCTCGAACAAATTAAAAAAGTGTGAAGCGACACGGATGCGCAAAATTCTTTCGGCAGTGTTTCCTCTGAGGGGACTAATCATCCATTACATCTCGAGTTCATTTAGCACTAATTTCATTTAGCTAATGCATCGCTCTTCCCTCCGCTCGGGAAATCTTGCGCCCACGCGCGTGACGTAGACGGCGTAGGTTTGCGCTGCTGCTGCTGCTGCGATACTGTGCGTCGTCTGCATTCATTACGGATCCCTGCCCAGCATCCTGCGCCTCATGAGCTCACGGAAGAGAACATTATGATGCCTTCACCCGCTGATAACCATCCGGTAATTTAATAGAGGAAGCCGCGGCAGCACTGCCGTCGCGGCCGCCGACAGCGCAGCGGCAGCAGCACACCTCGAAATTAAACTATTGGTAAACTATTTGACACCGAGGTATAGCTGATGATGAGAAACGAGTAATCGTGATTCATGCGAATATTACTTACCTACGCTTGTATTCGGCGGAAATCAATCGTGGGTGTGATTTTATTTATAGCGGGCAGAGTGTTGTCGTTGTCGCCGACGTCGACGTGGATAACGATAGTAAATGACGTTCCCTATGACAGCTGTGTCTGCGTGGCTTGCTGTAAATTCAAGTACAGTGAGCTACAGTAATAACTGGGATAAAATGATTCGACACAAATGCGACATGAATGTTATTAGGAATGCCTAATGATGTGTATAGTAAAAAAGAAGAAATAGGTTATATATATAGGCCTAATACGCGACAAAAATTCACTTCCGTCAGATTTTATTTCAAATAACAATGTCTCATGATGGCACGAGATGTAGGTGATCTAAAACTATTACTTTAAAGAATTTATTACTTATTACGAAATTTCTACACACAAATATGATAATGTACGTACGTAATAGATATGTATGGATAATTCATCATAATTGTATATAACTCTTGATTTCAATTATCGTTCAGTAATTTTGTCGTGGAAGTCTATAAGAAATCTATAAAAAGAGACTAATAAATTATTATAATTAATTATCAATCTAGCGTAACACGGTGACGTGTAAAATATTATTAGATAACCTTTAAGGTATAACCTAATCAGCAGGGGCGTGTACAGGATTTGTAGCAGGGGGGGGTGTAACCGTAACCCAAACTTGCGAGCACGCGCAAAAATTTTGAAATTAGACCCCCTCAGATGCGTTTTCTGCGCGAGCAGGGGGGGGTCCGGACCCCCTGGACCCCCCCCCCCTGTACACGCCCCTGATAAGGTTATCTATTATTATTTCTATGGTCCTTGCAATACGACCGGTTGAATACATTGTTGCATTCATGCATAACTGCATGTATATAATAAATATATGAAAAATTCTATGTACGTAAAATAATTGGTATTCCAGTGTTATCCATACATAATATAATATGTGAGGAATATATGCATAATTATATGAAAGAAAAGTAATTAGTTTAGTGACCTAATAATAACCGTCTTCGCTGTATTTAATTTTAAAGCCAATAGATGTCGCTGCGAACACTTCAGAAAATTAACATGCGAACTTTGTTTGCTTAACTTTAGATTTCTCTGTCACTATTCTCAGTTTTTAAAAGCGAAAGGATGTCAAAAGTGGCGCTGAGTAATGCTTCCAAGTGGAAGGAAGGCATCATCGTCCTCATATCGGGAACTGCCGTGTTTCTAGGCGGAATGACAGCGACCGGACAGCCGCGGTTCTATCGCAACGTTTTGATGCCCATAGGCCAGAAGCTATTCGATGCGGAGACAGCTCATCAGTGGACGATAAAACTCGCGAAATGGCGCGCACTGCCTTACATAAAACCGCTCGACTCGAGCGTGCTGAAGTCTCGCGTCTGGAACCTGGACTTCGACAACCCCGTGGGCCTTGCCGCGGGGTTCGACAAGCAGGGAGAGGCGGTCGACGGCTTGCTGAAGCTGGGATTCGGCTTCGTCGAGGTCGGCAGCGTGACGCCGGAGCCGCAGCCTGGCAACGCGAAGCCGCGCGTGTTCCGTCTGCCGGAGGACGGCGCGGTCATCAACCGATACGGCTTCAACAGCGATGGTCACACGGTGGTGCTGGAGCGTCTGACGTCGCGCGGGACGGACACGCGATCACCTGGCGTCGTCGGCGTGAACCTCGGCAAGAACGCGTCGTCGGCCGACGCCGTCGGCGACTACGTCAGCGGCGTCCGCGCGTTCGGAGACATCGCTGATTACCTCGTAGTCAACGTGTCGAGTCCCAACACGCCGGGCCTTCGCGCCATGCAGCGCAGGGAGGCACTGCTGGCGCTCGTCGCCGCGGCAACGGACGCCCGCGACCGCCTCGCGCGATCCCCACGACCTCCGCTGCTCGTCAAGGTCGCGCCGGATCTGACGAGAGAGGAGAAGGTGGACGTGGCGGCGGTCGTGTCGCGTCCTGGGTCCGGCGTCGACGGCATCGTCGTCAGCAACACGACCATCTCCCGGCCCGCCGGCCTGAAGAGCGAGCACGCGGCGGAGACGGGCGGGCTCAGTGGCGCCCCCTTGAAGTCGCTAGCGACGGAAACGATACGGGATTTCTACGCGTTGACGAGCGGGGCCGTTCCAATCATCGGCGTTGGTGGCGTGGCGAGCGGGAGAGACGCGTACGAGAAGATCAAGGCGGGCGCTTCTCTCGTTCAGCTCTACACGGCGTTTGTCTACCACGGTCCGCCTATAGCGAGGACGGTTAACGAGGAACTCGAAAAGCTGCTGGTTGCCGACGGTTACAAGTCTGTGTCGGAGGCTGTCGGCGCGGATCACAAGTCTGTGTAGCGACGCGCGGGCATTTGAGTTTGTTTTAGAAATGTGAATCGCTTTAATTGTGGATAGAAATTTGGAAATTAGAATGCATTTGATAAAAAAAACTTGGCAGTAATTGCTCTTACACAGTAGAGAAAACACTTGTATTAGTTTTATGTGGCAGAGTGTCGTTAGTCATGGAGTGATCAGTTTTGTAGTGGTAGTGAAAACCTAAAAACACATGTAAGAACCAAGCCAACACAATATAAATTGTATTTATTTATTACTGTCATGTAATGCATTAAAAATGTGATAAAAGTACAAACACAATTTTGTCAATTTTATAGAGATACTTTCACAGAATCACTAACTAGCGTATGTATGCAATCAATGTGTAGCTAGGGGAAAAACTTGAATAAACAACAGGTCGCATTAAATAATGAAAGCTTGATATACAGCAGGTATCATATAATTTAGAGAGGAGGCATTTGGTTTTGAATTATAATTCAGCCTATTTTGAATAGTAACGCAAACCTAACGTAACATATATGAGAATAATATTCCATGTACTTGGAGCCCCGGTCCTGGTCGATACATAATTGTGCATTTCCCGATCCTGCCATATCCAGTGCACGTGGCCGCGTGCGTGCGTGCATACACGTAGTCATTCGTCCAACAACCATACTCAGTTGTCAAACAAACTACATGCTAAAATCAAAACACAACATGCTATTTTGTTCGCTGGCCGAATCAAGGAGCACCTCTGTTTAAGGGTCACTGAATAAGAACAAGCAGTAGCAGTGTGTGTGTGTGTGTGACCAGGAAGTCAAATTACGCAGGAAAGAAAATAAGCGTGTGCGGTTTGCAGAACTGGGAGCGCCACGAAAACTCGTATTTCAAAGGGGTGTATAACCGAAGCAAGAGATAAATAGCAGCGAATTGGTTGATTACTCCCCCCTTTATTACACGGCGTTCATTCACTGGTTCATAAAGAAACCCATATTACAATGCCTACGATCAGGCCTAGAATAACGACACCGATGATAACCCACATCGTTATGAACATGCGGCTACAGCGGGAGGCGCACTGGCGATATTCCTCCTCTTTGCCCGCCTCGTACGCTCGCATGTCCACCACCATCGTGCGCTTCGCATCTACAAACTTCTGCGGCATGGGGCTTGGGTCGTACGGGTCGCTGACCACGGGCAGGACACCCTTCACGTGCTTACAGTTGAGTCCGTGCAGGAGACAAGGGTCGCAGCGACATTTCTCGCTAACTACCGGTACGTTTCGGTACACCGGTGCGTCGTCCACGCGCGGAATCGCTAGAAACGTGTCGCCAGACGCAGCATGCATCCTCGTGTAGCGACCGCGCGCCAGCGAGCGTCCGCTGGTGGGTGGGTGCGCCATGTAGGTTGGTTCGCCGCGTGGTGGGTAGCGGTAGGGATCAGGCGATCGTGGGTTACCGGCGTGCGCGAGCGTGGTGGCCATCCACGGACCGTGCACGGCAGGGTGTCGCTTACCATGAGCTAGCAGTGCGTCCGAGCGACTAGTCGTAGCGCTGCTGCTGCCTCGGCTCAGCTGACTGCCGCTCTTTGAGAGAGTGAACTTACCTAGTCCGCCCGTCTTAGCCGTTGACCCCGCGTCTGGCCTCATGTGGGAGTCACGGAACTCGTTTGGGAAATAGTAGCTGGTCATGCCTACGGAGCAAGGTTGTAGCGCGGGTCGTGCGCGCGGGGGTGGGACGGAGCAGTCGGTCAGGCGTATACGGGGCGTGAAATCTACGTGCTGCTAAGCCGCTTTACGCTGTTTTTCTACCGCGATACGATCAAGTTCGCGTGTCACATAGACACGTCGCTTGTAGTCTAGATGTGCATATCTCTGTATCTCTTCTTCTTGCCTCACGCGCGTCGCGTCTGTCGTCGTACGGCGCATGCGTCACCTTGTTTTGTGGTTAGTCGCGCCTGGAGACCTCTCGTATGTCGCGAAACCAATTAGGTTTGTCTCAGACGGTCTCTCCGGTAGATTAATTGCTCTAAAGCGGATTTCTGTCGTTCGACTGTTTCTCATGCTATGCGTCTTCTTTCTCCGGGATAGCATCGACCCGCCGCTTCAGTGCGCAAGCGGTATATTATTCTCTCCGTCTGAAAATAGAAACAGAAGAAACCCGACGTTATTCTCGCTCATTCCGTAGAAATTAACGGGTAATCGGCTTGAACACATTATTTTCGTTGGGTGAAGTCGATGAAATTTAATAGGCAGGATGTTTTGAAGACCTGTCCGCCCTCGTGCCCGCGTGAACGTAGAACATCAGGACAACTAGATTCGACGACATGCGATATGGAAAGGTGTCACTGGGCCTTGCTTATCGTAGCTAGACTGGGTTATAACCTATAGAAACGTCACCAGTCACAAATCGTTAATGATGAGGTGCAGTAAACTATGTACACTCCATTAGCAGAGAAACTAGTAAACGTGTTCAAAATTCGACGATACAATATTTAAATTATCAAATAAGGAATTTAAGGAAAATACGTTAAAAACAAACTAAGGGTTAAAATAAGGAATCCCCATATTACTTCCAGTGCAGTGGACACCGACAAGTACGAGAACATAACGCATACGCCATGCCCAGGATTCAGACATGGTGAGACCCCAAACTACGAGAAGCTGCAGAGTAAAGTTGTGTAAACAATGATATTTTTTACTGGGTCTAATTTGTTAATGTTAAATGTTTTTAATTAGGTTATATAAATTAAGATAAATCATTACTTAAATATAAATTACAATAAAGCTGTAACAAATGAAATCATGATCAGTAATCAAATGAAAACATCTCAGATTTCGAGTGGCCCCTCCAGCGTGAGAACTCAAGCTGTAGCTTGTTTACAGCTTATGCCTAAATCCGGCCCTGGTCATGCAGCTTTGTTTTCTGACATCTAGAGACAGACTTTTTGACATCTGTGACTAGTCCTAGTACTTTTCGAAGAAGATTCTCTTCAAAGAAGCCCATCGGAGACGGTTCGCGGCTTCGCGCTTACCTCCCGTAGAGTTTGTATAGATGTAATCAGGAGCGTATAATGACAAATACATTGTCATTATACGCTCCTGATGTAATCAGTTCGTTTAGCAGCAATAACAGCAATAAAACACAGAGTACGTACTACGTAGCTACAGATTACACGTGAAGCAATATTCCCAGTTTACCGCGCAACCGCAATAAACATCAACAATAAACCATTACTGCGAAGCGTTTGCCTACATTTTTCCAAGAATCATTATTACAGTCAAACCCCGTTAGTAGAAAACTGACGGGCCAAAGAAAAATAATTGTATTAAGCGGGTTTCGTATTAACCACTTTAACATATATTAGCCCCGAATTAACAAGGAAAAAATTATGGATATCAAGGTGTGTACAAGGTATTTTATATAGGTTTATATGTATAATTAAGAACTTTAGTGGCGTTAAATTGTTCACAAATAGATACAATTACTGCAAAGCCTAAACTCTTCATTCAATAATTTACTACTATTCATTACTACAGTCGCACCCCGTTAGTACGAAACTGACGGGTCAAAGAAAAATAATCGTATTAAGCGGGTTCCGTATATTATATTAGCCTTAATTTAAAGAGAAAAGCGATGGATTAGGGTGTGTACAAAGTGTTTTATATAGAAATGAAAATACCGGGACAGAAAATTTTATGTTAGTAACAGGATCGTTGTATTATTGTCTTCGTATTAAAGCAATATTTTACTAAGAGATACACTATGAATCGGGCCGGGATTTAGAGAAATCATCGTAGTTTCATCAGCGTAACGAGCTAATATGGCCGCCCGAGGCGGCCATTTTGCGAGTATATAATAATGAGAGTAAATATAAGGAAACGACGCAATATTTGGTACTTTAATCTATCTCGAAATAATTACATCTCTTCATTTGAAACGCACACATGACGGAATTCAAGCAAACTGCGTTTGCAAATGCATGCACGCGCGCAGGCACGCACACCTGCTCGCACGCGCACACGCACACACACACACGCGCGCGCGGACACACACACACACACACACACACACACACACACACACACACACACACACACACACACACACACACACAC